CCAAGCTACCGTGTCTTTCGAGTAGTGCATTTACCAGAGGGAACGAAACTGCACTGTACAAGGAACGAGTGGTGTCGATGGATCACTAGGTCTCGGTTAATATTCCCAGCTGTGTTTGGACGGGAATTTGATTTGCAATATTCTGGGCATGACTGACCGCCCACGGTTGCTACTCTGTTATTGACGCATTTCGCGCCAAATCGAATCGAAGCTGGCAACACCCTCTCAGATTTCTATGAAATTTTCTGGATGTGTAGACTTTGACTAAATAAGCTCTTTTGCAAACTCAGTTTTTCCAAAATTTATCTAGACTAACATTTGAGAAGGGCCAAACTTTTTCTGCCGATTTTTTTTTCCAAAAAAAATATTATGGAAAAATGACAATTCCTACAAAAATGTGTTGTATGGATAACTTTTAGAGAATTGTCGAAGATTTCGAAAAAAATACAATTTTTTTTAAATCGACTTCAAATTTTAAAAATCGGTTTTTTCAATGTAGGTGTCTAATGGATTTTTTTTCAGTATTTTTTTTTTTTATAATTTGGACAATTTTCTAAAAGTCATGTATGCAACACATTTTTTATGAGTTGTTATTTTTCCATAATATTTTTTGAATAAAAAAAAATCAACAAGTCCTTCTTAAAGGCTAGCCTAGATAGATTTTGGAAAAACTAAGTATATGCAAAGTGGCTTATTTAGTCAAGGTCCACACATCCAGAAAGTTTCATTGAAATCTGAAAGGGTGCTGCCAGCTCCGAATACGATTTGGCGCGAAATGCGTCTATTGCCAGATCAGCTGTTATTACACAGAGAACCAATAGACGATGCTTGGGACTAGCAATCATCCTCAATGTGTAAAAACTAGTGATCTCAAACTAGGCAATACCAGCGCCGGCCGCGCCCGAACGTGGGTCAAGAAAGGAATGGGTAAGAATGTGTTGACATGACACTCGCTTTGATGGAAGTTGAGAACATCTCTGCACTTCCACGAGGAATCACTGGGATATTTGGTAAGACGGTTGGGTTTGCAGCTGTGTTTGTTTTGGTAAACGATAAGTTGGATTGAACCCACGATCTTCTGCTCAGTAAGCAAAAACGATCGCTCTAAGGTCACCAAATCCCTTCTATCACATCATACCTTTACTCGAGTTGTTGTACCCATTCAAACCCGGCACCGACGACAAGTTTCGTAAAATACACGATAAAAAAGCGATTTGACCATAAATCGACTCAATGTGATAGGACCTGGGACCCCGTTTTTCTGCTCAGTAAGCAAGCTGCTGCAATCGACGAAAACTAAAAGCTACGAAAAACCACAGAGGCCTTCATTACGTTTCACTTTAACGCGTCCTCTTACATCATGCTATGGCCGACGTCAGCAGTCAAAAGCAGTCAATAATGTATCACAAACTGGATCAAGCGTTCACTCTATTGTTCTAAACATTCCGACGCGTTCCGCCCATGATCTAGCAGTTACAATTTTCTTCAATAAAAGCCTGGGATAAGTCGTAATTTATTATCCCCACAAGACTCAACTTTTGCAGTCAGATGCATACCTTACCGACAGCATCGCCTTTCTTATGTTTAATCTTAACCCGCAAAACAGTTCACGCGCGGTCGAGGTCATCCCGCCAGGAAACTAACAGAAAGTTTTAATCTGGAACAAGCTCTCCAAACAAGCGCATAGCCCGGTTTCGAATTCAAAAAAAAGTAAGACGGTGAACACCATTATACCGAACGCAATTCTACTGTATGGATTACTAGGTCGACCGTCGTTTAACCGAAACTGAATTTTCCATCATACTTCGACATATGTCATTGGTATTTTATAATTTGTATTAAAATATAACATGTTTATAAATAATTTATCCAGGGTGCCAGAACCTTTCAAAATTTTAGGGATTGTCTTCAAGTTTCAAGTTTTTCCAAAGTCGTATTAAAATTATGTTAGTTTTAAACATTAGGCAAACATTCATGCATGTAAACTTCCGTTTCACGTAAACTAGCAGCTTGCAAGAAATGTTGCTTACAAAGATGGACAGTTTCATACAATATATGGAATATTTAATGAAATGTCTCATAAATTTACATTTACATTTATGTAAACATACATCATGCTCCATTTATGTGCATCATAGTAACGGAAATTTACACGATTTTTTTAAACTGTGCATGGTGGAAAAGCGATTTTTTTTTATCTTTATTAAGGAGACTTTCAGCCCTGGGTTGGTTCTTCTCCTGACGCGAAAAATTGGTTTTATGAATTGTTCAAGGATTCTAAAGCTTGCAAGAAATTAAGATCCAAAGATTAGATTTTTTAAGGTTATGAACTCATGTTTTACTCGATATCTGAATTTTATTTTCACCAGACAGTAACAGATTTTTAAAATTTGGAGTCTAATATAATTTTAAATTTTTCCTGCTTCGGTAAATGTTGAGCATTTCGAACATTGTTTTTTAACCAAGACTTATAAAAAGATCATTACCTTGTAATAAAAGTCCTTTCAATGTTATCCATACAATCAACTCGAAACTATTAGCATTTAGAAAATTTTACAATGTTTTGTGACTCCGACAATTAAGCAAAGCAAAATAATAAAACATCTTAATTTTCAATAAAAGCCTAATTATGTAGTTGTTGTGCGTTGTTTGCATTAAAAGGATTTTAATATTCTACAATTTGGCGAACGTTCAATACTTAAACAATTCTTATTTTTATTGAAGACATTCCCAATTCCTCATCTCATCTCATCTATATATTTTTTACAGCTTAGAAAATAATGTTTGAAAACTTAGTCTTTGTGGAGATTTACCATTTTATTCGATAACAGTTTTTCAATGATCATCTTATCTTAAACATTTGCTAGAAACATTTTATTTTAGATTTTTTTTAAATTATGGATTAGGATTAGATTAAAAATAACTGGCACTTAGGATTATTTTCAGACCGTTCTGGAATGAAGTTTAACAAAAAAGTCGCCAAAATCGATAATTTTATTATGTTTTCCACCCAATTGTGATGGTTTAAAAAATATATATTCACAAGAATTCCTTTAAAATTTTCACCATCTACTAATATTTTTTTAATTCACTCTTCAGTATTGATGGTATTCTTGTAAAAACTCGCACTTCAGTTTATTCTATGCTTAAAATACTCTTGCTATATAAAACAGCAAAAGGGTTTATCTTCCATTTAATTCCACTTAATTAATTTTGGTATCCATGACAGATACGTATTTCGACTACAATGTGCAGTCTTCATCAGTGTCATTCCCACTAAAGAACTTATCAAAATCTAACCCCCTTAAGTACTCATCCCCTAGGTAAAAAAGTCAAGATCATAGGTATAAAAATGAAACTACAATGTGTTGAATCGGAACCTACCTAACTAATAAAAACCAAAGATTTAAGTAAGCTAAAGGAGAAAAATCTATACAAATCTCTAATAAGGAATGACACTGATGAAGACTGATTATGGCATTTATTGAATGGAATTACCTGATAATACACACTAGACGTAAAACTCACAGTTACTGTTTGAATATTTTATGTTTATTTTAATTGTTTAACAACGTTTTCACAAGTAAATCATGGACCCAACTTTAGGGACACATTTCTTTTCTATGTTCCTAACTTTGGCCCATGAAATTCATTTGACAGCATATAGCAATAAGAGTAACGTCAACAATGTGGTTTGCATTTGGATGATAAGGAACGAACAGGAAGGGAGATTTTTTCTGCCAAATCTGTATAATGAACATCACAATGTTTTGATTTAGATATTCTGCGGTCGAAAGACGATAAGCGAAATTTTTAATTTTTAATTTTTAACTTGAGTGATTTAATGTAGTTTTCGTAAAATTTTCTCTAAGAAATGTTTTGAGGAATGAAGAGTATTAAGTTAACAGTGATAGTGATAAAAAAAAATACATAAGAAAACGTTACCAAGACCGTTTTTTTTGAGAATCAAACAGGATAGGACGAAGTTGCATCCATAAATAGACCCAATTTGGGGACAATAGACCGATATTACATACATTTCCCTGGTGAGTTTTTGTCTTAAAAAAAGTAAGTTTTTCAACTTTTTGCGGTTCCTGATAGCAAACGACATGATAAGCATATCTAAGCATACCATTTAGCAGTAGAATATCGTTTGCAGGTAAATTAATTGATGAGTTATGATTAAAAACGTAATCTATGGCTGCATATTAGACCGAGGTTAGGGACGTATACCCTATTTCATGATTTGGGCGATCGATAAAAACCTCCTTTATCATGCTATGTGGCAAAAATAGTACGAAAACTGTAGCCGTGGTTATCAAAAAAAAAAGTCGATGAAGAGAATCGATAAAAGCAGATAGGCCCTTTTTCCAGCTCTGTATAGAATTATTGATATGAACAGCTTTCCAAATGATAGTTTAGTAATTATGGGTGAACAACTTTTGAATTGATGTTGAAAAAGACATAAACCAACGCAGTTGGTCATATTACCATGGCGCAAATTACCCCACCTTACCCTACAACAATGTCGTTATGTATAACTGCCATTCTAATAAGGTTTTCGAGGTCACCGACTGACCTATCTCACTTCCTTATCCATCAAACAGCTGAGTTGCATACAGAGCCTTTTCAGAACACGCAACAAAGCATGGATCATATTTAAATCCCCATTCAAACGCGCCTCTTTGTTATGCGCTTACTTTCGGATCACTGTTTGAATTTCATTTAAACAAAATCATCGCCAAAACATCGAAACGCATTGTTTGACAGATCGAACAAAAACAGAGGAAGTAAACCGCTCCGCTAGACGCGATGCGACCGACAAACAACGAACACAATACATGCATGCAACGGTCCAATGAATGATGCGAATGCGCTTCTCTCGCGAGCGTCCTCTCCGGTAACGGTACCAGGATCATGTCATCCTTTTTGTTCTACCACGATTCAACCACGCGAGCAATGCTGAGGATTCCTTTCTCTTTTTATCACTCCCAGCAAAAAAATGCTTCGATTAGTCTCCTACAAATGCACCATTTTCTATTCTTCCGCCGCCGGTTGTTGTCGAAGTGGACAAAGGTTAGCGTCTTGTATTCGCGATTCGAGTGTGGTTTTATGCTGCAATTATCTAGAACAAAGTGCTTTTATCTCCACCTTCAACAGTGCGTCGCTCGTCGGATAAACAATTAATCCGAATTATATTGTTCTTGCTTTGTGTCGCCCGGGCCATAGTGATTCGAGTTGAATGAATACCGACGCGCCGCCGTGTTCTAGTGGAAAGGATTCTTCCGGCGAACTATCGGTGAAAGATGAATCGTGTGGTCTCATAGAACTGGATGGGTCTGTAGACGAGTTGCAAGATTCAGTGACCTCCGTGTTTGTTGATGACCAGTGGCCGGGACAGATTTTGGTCGAAGGTGTTGACGAATTTGGGTAAGTTTTAAGGTATTGCGTTTTTGTCTTGATGTTGTGGAACTGTAGCCGCCATTGTAATTGTGGCGTCCATAGACAGCGTCACGTGTTAAAATGTGAGCGATAAAACGATGCTGTGATTATGCTCATTTGGTTGATTTATTGGCGATTTAAGCTGTGAATTAAAACGGACTCTACTAAATGTTCGTAGTGTTTTGAAATATTAATGCTTTAAACGGTTTCCGAGTTGTCACAATTTTACCAATCACATGGTGAAACAAGTTCACTGGCTTGTGACGGATTCTGAGACTCTTCAATTTTTAGATCGTCGGTTTCTTACGAATTACAACACACCCAAGAGCACAGTTTGGCCATCAGATAGTGTAGTTGAATTACGTGGGTCATTCATAATAAATCGACGTCGCCACTTAAGGAGGAAAAGCAGGATACAATGTCCTGAACAGATAGGGTGCGATAATAAGGTAACGGAAATTAATCTTGGCCTTCGGGTCTAATTTATTGGTGCAATTAACTTGGGCTTTGGTGCCTTATCCACGACACAGCTTCTTTAGATTTGCTGGTTCTGTTCCTTTACCCAGGGTGACCACTAAACCGCGAGAACCGAGAATCGGAAACGACCGATCAACACCGTGAAATAAGCGAGAATTTGATTTGAAACTGGGACCTCCCTTAGCCGGTAAAGGCGTAGGCGTCCCTTAGCCGGTGCTGGAGGTGGCTGTGCGAATCCTGGCATGGTCTCAGAATTTTTAGGATTGGAAAATTACTCGACTTCCCTGTTCATAGAGTGTGATTGTACTTGCCACTCAATTATACTAATGCATAAATGGCACAGGCATCGAAAGTTCTAAATTAATATCTAAAGGTGTCCTACTGCCTGTTAAAAATCGGAAAATCAGGGAATTAATTTTTGTACCTAGGAAATCAGGTAATCTCAGGGAATATAATTCACATTCAGGGACATATTTCTTTATAACCTGATTAATAAGTATGACTGACTTCGCTGGTTTCAAACAACTTAATTACTCGGTGAAGTTTGAGTGTGGTTTTTCATTTAGAGTTGCGAACTTGTGGTTGTGCAATGCTTGGTGTTGCATTTTTGCAAGTTGAGCAAAAGTTATTCAAATAAAATGTATTTCAATGATTTTGAACCTATTATAAATTCAGCTCCCATTGGGTGTTGTCACATTCCTGAGTTGAACTGAGTTAACAAAGTCCTGAGTTGTTGCAAAATTTAAGTTGCTAATGGGTATGTGCGTCTCTTAATAGATGTTACACCTAAATGCGTCTGACAAAATTCAACTTTCGAGTAGATTGGTGCGTCTGCTCGATCCAGCTGTGTCCAACAAAAATCAATCCCTTGAGCTCATTGGAGTGCCTTTGAGTAAATGCGAGAATTGTTAAAAGTTAAGCTGGGTTTAGACAAAGCAACTCACCTGCATTCAATTGGCTTGAAGAGTTGAGTCTGGTTCAATCTTTTTCAATTCCAGTGAGTTGATTAAGTCAGTTCAATTGCATGTTTTCAACTAAATTGATCAATTGTCTTGCCTTGTATAAACCTCGGTCTAAACCCAGCTTTAAGAGAAGCTGATGATTTTTTTATTCTGAATAGGTACTTCTTGTTATTGTTCCTTATTGTGTTCTTAACAGCTTGATTAGCTCAGAGAACTAACTAAATAAGAATTTTGGATAAAACTCTTGCTTGGGAGGATTTTTTTTATTGCTTGGAGTAGCACATATATGATTAAATAATGATTCAAATATACGTAGACAAGCATTGCCTTGACAGCATAGAGTGGCTTTATTGAGTACTCTAGGTCTTCATTGGAAATCTGGTTAGCTCGAAAAATTAGCATTTCAGTGAAGTTTTAATATAGTTATGCAATTAACTTACAGAATGTTGGAGGAGAAAGCGCTGTTTTTACGATTCCTCACTGGAGGAATCCTCCCCGCGAATTAGCTTTAGGTTAAGCGTATTATCCGGAATAGTTTTCTTGCGGAGCTGGGTCTCAAATGTGCTCAAGGCAAAACAAATTTAATGGTATTAAAAATAAAGTTTTTCATACGTAAGATGCAGAGTGACCAGTGAACTGGGAAAACCCGAAGAAAGCTGGGAATTTGAAGTCACCGGGAAAAAAAACCGGAAAAATATACCTCGACCTCACTTCGAAAACAATAAGATTTCAAGGCCCTTGGACTGGACTAGATTTTCAGGATATAGTCACTTTGAAGAACTGTTAAGACAATTTTAGAATTTTTTTCCAAAGCAAATTTTAGAATGAAGGTATTTCAGATTATATTTTCTAGGGAGCTGTAGGAAAATCTCTAAGAGAGTTTTTACTATAACTCCCAAGAGTGAAGAGGATTCCAGGAGTCGTGAAAAATACCAATGGAATCGAATTTTGAGGGTACAATTCCAAAACAAATTCTGCGAAGATCTATCAGGATTTTTCGAGGATAATTCCAAGCGGATTTCGAATAGAATTTCTAGAGAATTTTAATGAGAATTCCATGCAATATCCAGAAGAATTTAGAGGAGAACTCTAAGATAATTCTGGGCAAAATTTAAGATAATTTTTCGACGGGAGAATATCCCCTGCCCGATGGTGTTGGCAGGGAAAGGGATTACAAGTTTTGATCATAAAAGCTGATGGGCCCTTTTCAATTGTTGGTCGAGAATTTGAGGAGAATTGCATGGGAACAAGCAAATTAAAAAAAAATAAGGACCAGTGAATTCTTAGAAATAGTTTAAAATTCGAAGAGAATATAAGGACGAATTTTAAATGTTTTTCAGAGTGTTCTACAGAGAATTTTTGTTATACAAACAATTTCAAGGGACTTCCAGTTAGCGGCACCGGTGGTGTAGTGGTAAGTGTGATTACCTCTCACCCCAGCAGGCCTGGGTTCAATCCCAGTCGGCGCCGCCGGGATGTTCTGATGCATAACATCTCTGAAGGGAAGTAAACCCGTTGGTCCCCGGTTCATGACTTGATGGGTCGAAAGGTAGGGTCCAGGTGTGGGAGCTGTGTCTCCCTGACGTCGGTAGCATTGGTGCTCAGCACGGAAAACAAGATCGACGGAAAACAAACGAAAGAAAAAATATTTGAGATAGACTAAAGTAGTATTCTAAAATGTTGTAGAACAATCAATTTGAAGCAACTTTGCTCAAGACATCAAATTTATATCTCTTATCGTTCATGAGCTATGATTATTTTAAACAAGCAGGTTAGGGTGGGCCCTAAAAAATCGGTTTTCTTTGAATATCTTTTCATACGTTTATTTCTCGTAAAAACGTTTTTGTGGACACATTTAGAACGTTTGATGACGCATATTTTTACTGAAGCAACCAGCTTGCTATCTTTTTTGATAAGAAAGTTGAAGGCGATCGTGTTCGAAAAAAATGGTTCTTTTCAATTGTCAAAGGATTACATTTTAATTAAAACAAATTATATTTTTCAGCGAAAACTAGCCATAAATTAAAAAAAAAGATATAACAACTTAGTTGCTTTAGCATAAATATGCGTCATAAAAATTTCTAAAAGCGTTTAGAACAAAATTTCCACGAGAAATGAACGTATAAAACGATATTAAAAAAAAACCGATTTTCTAGGGGCCACCCTAACCTGCTTGTTTCAAATAATCATAACTCATGAAACATAATAGATAGAAATTTGATGTCTTGAACAAGCTTCAAATTTATTGTTCTACAACTTTTTATCTCAAATAATAAAACAAATGTATTTTATATTCACCAATTTTATGGACCACACTAATTTCAGTAACATAAAAAGATCGACCTTGTTCTAGACATAGAACGCATATTTTTGCTGAAGACACCATATTTCTATCTCTTATGGTTCATCATTTATCATTTTTTTAAACAAGCAGGTTTAGGTGGCCCCTAGAAAATCGGCTTTTTTTTAAATATATTTTTATACGTTCATTTCTCGTAACAACTTTGTTATAGACACTTATAAAACTTTTTATTACGTATGTTTTTGCTGAAGCATCTAAGCTGTCATTTCTTTTATTGAAAAGTTTAGCTTAGTTTTCGCTAAAAACATGTCTTTTTTATATTAAATTAAATGCTTTAAACAAAAACCGCTCTCGCATTTTTTTCAGCTTGAATGAAATTGAAATTGAATTGAAAGTTTGAAAATTTGTTCGCTATATTTAGAGATATTGGCAATTGAAAAGAGCAATTTTTTGAAGAAAATCTCTTTCAACTTTCAACAAGAAAACGTTTTTTTAGGGGCCACACCCTAAGCTGCTTGTTTAAAAAATCATAACTCATGAACCTCTCTTGACATTTGGTGTCTTCAGCAGAGCTGATTCGAATTGATTGTTCTACAACTTTTTAGAATATTGGTCTATCTCAAATAATAAAAAAGTTTGTATTTTCAATTCACCAATTTTACGGAACACCCTTATTTGACTAACATAATAAGATCGGCCAAAAAATATGAAGAAACTTTCCCGAAGACACAATATACCTAAAAGTTTGGGCGCAAATATTGTTGTATTCCTAAATACGGCTTTGGGACCATTGTGCATTGTTTCTAAGTCCCATACGGTAATTGAATCCGACTCAATTTTGAGTTCCGTTTACTGATATTTGCAAAAACGCAGGTCGCTCATAGACTGAGTAAAATTTTCTTCGATTGTCCTCAAATATTTGCGTTTTATAAGGAAAATCGAGACAAAATTGACTCAATCTACGAGTATATTCAAAGACTGATGAAAATTTCTTAAATTTTCTTCATATTCGAGCAGAGATGCCAGATTTTTTTTCTGAAGTCTGCGAAAAATGTTTGTGAATTTCAGAAATGTCTGTGAATTTCAAAAATATGTGTAATTGGGCTGCATAAAATTAGCAGAAGTTTTGCGTAAGGGGTCATGAAATAGATGCGAAGTTTTAAATGTCAGTAAAAGTCGTCATGTAGAGTAGGTGAATATGATCGTGATTATACTCAAAGTAAAAAGTACACTGAACCAAAACATCC